AGTAAAAAAATAAGTTGTTAACCCTGTATAACATGTATTTCATACATTTATTTTCAAACAGTATCGTTTAAAGTCTCAAGGATGACCATATGCCAAAGACAAGGCACAAATATCTTGACACACTGAAGAAATTTGGTCACTTTCTTTTGTCGGAGGCCAGATACTCAGGGCAGTATGGAAGAGCAGAAGATGTGACCAGAACCCTCTTAAGGGTCACCACCTTCATGTCCGGCCTTCGACTTGACATCAAAAAGTGAGAGATGGCCAACAACAAAACTGCTGAAATGGTTCCCTCTGATATTATATTTTATCTGCTGATTATAATGACAAGGTGATTTTGGTAGGCAATAAGATCAGCATGTCTTTTAGATTCTATTTTTTCATCTCGACACAAATTTATATTGGATCAATTACATGCACTACAAAAAAAATATCTTGAGAAAGTACAAATATATATTTTCTACAGAATTACAAAGAATATTTTGAAAGGTGTAAATGTGTCATATGCTATTGGAAGGTATGTTATTACAATTCTAACTTTCTAATTTCTAATTATAAAAATGCTCTTGGGAAGCTCATGTTTTTAAGTCATACCAATTCACAAAAATAAATATGTATTCAACTAATTATACCCAGTTATGAATTCATTATGTAACAGGAATCCAATAGAATACTTATATAATATTGGATGGCTTTGAGTGTGATACAAGAATATATTGTCTTAGCGAGAGCAATATATTCTTATTCTTGTATCACATGAAAACAGAGCCATACAATATTATTATTATTATCTATTTCAGGCTGACTAGCGAAATAACAAAATTCGATAATCAAGCAATATAGTATCGACAGTTGAAGTTCCCGGATGACAGAGCACTACAAAAAAAATATTGATCAGTCATCCGAGTACTGCGCTAAAGATATTAAATATACTGATTGATTGTACCACTTGGAAGCCTTATATAGATAATAATTACAAATATTTTATTTTGACAAATAGATTCAACTAGAGTATATAAGTTAAATGTATATGAAATACAACGTCCTGTAATTAATATATTTTATCTTTGATTGATAATAGATCAAATACTCCCAGCCAAAGACGTGCAAAGATTCAGAAGAAACATGAAGCAGGAAGCAGAAAATGCCATCGGTAAATACTCTATATCTCATTATTTAATCTAAAAGTCAAATAATTCTACTATTTCTGTTCAGTCTTTATTCATTCTTCACTTTAAAAACAACCATGCTAACATTTAAATATATACAAAGCATTTCAAAGTTAAAACAAAACACGCATTAAATAAATTCATATGAATAAGTAGAATAAGGAGGGACCATCATTAAAGCGACTTAACATATTAATAGTCCCCAGAATTGGCAAGGTATTAGTAAAAAACATTACAATTTTATTTGACTGACTGATCATCTTCTCACACAACAGCTCACAAGATATTTTTTATTTTATTTTTTTACTAAGAGTAATGTTTTCCCTGATTGGAGTTACATTGATGAACTCTACATCGCTTGTTTGTGCACACAACATACACACATATCATTTATTTACATAATGAATAAGAAGTGCTTTGAGCGTATCATATTAAAGAGTCTTCTTCAGCCAATCAGAGAGCTGATTGATCCTCATCAGTATGCATACCAACAAAACAAATCTGTTCAAGACGCTACCCTTTATCTAACACATCTGCTATACAAGCACACAGAAGAGACGAAATCGTACGTACGAGCATTGTTCGTGGACTTCTCTTCTGCGTTCAATACCATCCGCCCTCATGTGCTTGTTGAGAAGTTGAAGCGTCTTGAAGTAAGGCCATCGCTCATACTTTGGATCGTGGACTTCTTGCAGAACCGAACGCAGAAAGTACGGGTGCAGAACACAATGAGTGAGTCCATTGTTACCAACATCGGGTCTCCTCAAGGGTGCGTGCTCTCGGCCATCCTGTTCGTGTTGTATACCAACGACTGCCGCTCATCTTCGGAAAATGTCTCAGTCTTGAAATACGCGGACGATACTGTTATTGTTGGGAATATTAGAGGAAGTGAGACTGAATACGAAGATTATCTAAACTGGTTTACTGAGTGGTGCAATGAAAACTTTCTGGACTTCAATACTACGAAAACAAAAGAGATGATAATTGACTTTAGGAAAGTAAGACCCGTAGATCCAAGTAGCTGCCCAATGAAAATAAACGGAAAAGAAATAGAGATAGTGAAATCATACAAATACCTTGGCACTGTAATTAATGACAAGCTGAAATGGGATGACAACTGTAGGGAGCTGTACAAGAAAGGGCAGCAACGGTTATATTTCCTTCGTAAACTCAATTCCTTTCACGTAGACCGCACTATAATGTACCTTTTCTACAAGTCTGTGATAGAGAGCATAATAGTAAACGACTGCGTTGTGTGGTACACAGCATGTCGAAAAGTAGACTTTTCTATGCTAAAAAGAATTGTTAAACAAGCGGAAAAAATTGTAGGGAAGAATCTAGACTTCGAAGATATATGTAGAAATAGAGTACTCGACAAGGCGAAATCAATCTACCATAACAGCCGTCACCCCTTAAATAATAATTATGTAGCCCTGAGGTCAGGAAACAGGTTAAGATCTCTAAGGTCCAGAACGAGCAGGTTTCTAAATTCATTTGTGCCAAGCTCAATCAGGCTGATGAACGAGGAGGGTTTAATCTAAGTCTGAATAATAAACTGAATTTAATCTGAATTGTGAATTTAATTTGAACTGTGAACCTAACTTAATCTGAATTATGACTGAATGTAATCACCTATTTTTGAATTATAACTTGCATTTAATCTGAATTGTAAACTAATTTAATTTGAATTATGAATTCTAGGTGATCGGAACTTGAGTTGAATTATATTATGAAATATGAACTGAACTGGTTTGAAGAATAAATTGTATTGCATTTGAATTGTGAATTTAATTTAACCCGAAATATGAATATAATCTAATTACTTAGTTTGAATTATATATTGAATTTGATTTGAATTGTTAATTTTATATTAATCTGACCTACAAATTGAATTGATGTGAATTATAGATTGTAGTAATCTGAATTATGAATTTATTTAACCTGAATTGTCAATTTAATTTAATCTGAATTATGAATTGTACGCGATCGGGATTTGAATTGAATTATTTCCTGAAATATGAATTGAATCTGTCTGAATCATGAACTGTATTGAATTTGAATTGTGAACTTAACTTAACCCGAATTATGAATTTAATTTTATTACTTAGTTTGAATTATAAACTGAATGTGATTTGATTTTAATTATATTTTAATTTGAATTACGAACTGAATGTGATCGGGATTTGAAATGGATTTGATCTGAATTACGAATTGAATTGGTTTAAATTTTTAATTGTATTTAATCTGAATTGCGAATGAATTTAATCCGAACTTGAACTGAATTTAACTACTTAATTTATGAATCGAATTTTAGTCTGCATGTTGAACTATCGCATTTGTTGTTACCTATGTCCAAGTTAAATGTTCTACTCTGTACCCATATGTATCTTATTGATGTTTATAATGTGTAACCTTGTACCGACATGCAAATGAAACAAATTTCCAATCATTGGACAATAAATTTGAATATGAATATGAATATGAATAACTACAATTTGTAACACTTGCAACCATTTCACATTAGATCAGTAATAATTGATTTGTTGTTGCTCCATTTAACTACTGAGAGTGAGACCCCATCTCCCAAGCAATGGACCATTTACTATCTTTTCATACAACTGCACTGTGCTGACAATTGCACTAGTAATCATGTCCCTGGTTATTCTAATATACTGGTAGTAAAGTTACCAGTCAACTAGGCCTCGTTGCATAAAACTTACCATTGATGGTAACTTTGCCATTATTGGTAACTACCATGGTAACAGGGCTCATCAGCCAATCAAAATCAAGGTTTCCATGGTAGTTACATTTATTTGATACGCTACGTCCCTATGCTTCTTCTCCCCCAAATTTTCCCAGTCAATGCCCTATTTTCTGTGCCAAATGAAGTTGTCTTTATCTTAGGAGGTTTTGAAGAGATCTATCAACACACAAAAGCTCTTCCTCCTTTGACAATCTGTCACTCCATGATATTCTCAGTATTCTCCTCAAGAATCATATTTCTGCAGCTTTAAGGTCCACCTTGATACTAGACTGGAATTAAGAAAATCAGACAAATGATATGACATTGTGACATATCTTGGGAGCCCCTCATACACTTGCTCTGTATTAAAGAACAAACAAATATATACATGTATATATAGTCTCATGAAGTAAACATCAATTATACATTTATCCGGGATTTTCTAAATACCTCTATGGATTAGATGTATTTCTTCATCAACAATCAGGAAATTGGAACCTTCATAGATAATGTCAAGGAAAACTTCCAATTTGAATTTAAATTCAGTTTACCATATGATTTCAATAATCAGCTGTTTGATTAATTTCACACAGACAAATTCAATCAAGGCGATTCATCATGGGAGACTGTCAAGGCTGTACTGTGAGGGACACCCTCATTTTGGAGTCGGAGTGACAGAATGCTGGACGAGGGGGGCTGTGTGCCACCCTCAAAAGAGCTGAGGTAGAAAGAAATTCAACCCTTGATGGAAAGAGAGAGTTCTTGGAATTAAAAAAGTACATGTTATTTTATTCTTTAGTTACCCTAAATGCTTCTATTTGTATATTAAACTTTTGGCATGACTGTAAAAATATTGAATTGACATCATTTGTCAATAATTTTTTCTTTCTACATGTATTACAAATACTGTAGTCAGAATACTTAAATTTGTATGAAGTGATGGATGGCTTTCACAATAGTCTTCCCCTAATGGGCAAGCTTTATTTTTGAATCTACCATAAGATTCTTGGTCCAGAGATGCAGGGCTCTTCATGACTACCTATTTTACAGACAGCAACTAAATTAATACTTATATGGGTAATCTGAAAGGAATATGAAAGAAAAGTTAGGAATTATATTTAATATCAGATAGAATTGAGGGTAGGGGGATATCAGAATATATTCCTCACAACAGAATCATACTGCCCTGAGTCGTTAGACATATTTAGTTATCCAATATAATCGTTATTCATATCAGCCTCAGGTACATTATTATGCATATTTTGTAGCAATTACAAACAATTTTTGTTTGGTTGTCAGTCACCCTGGTTTCAGCTTATTCATATCAATAATGAGACCCACAGATTTTGTTTTTGACCAAAATTGGTGCCATTTTTCTTCTTCAATAGGAATACATGTACATGGTTCTAGGACAATTACCCCCCCCCCCCCAAAAAAAAAAGAATTAGTATCAGGGTAAACTTTCCCTTTAATGTCCACGGGGGTAATTTTCCAGGGGGAGGGGTAATTTTCAGGGGTAATTGTCCTGATATGGAAATACTTCAATAACAATAGCATTCCACTCAATTCAAAGATATTCTATTAGGTCATTGGTTAGACTCCAGAATCGACATTGTAACACAAATATTTCTGAAGATATTGCTCATTTTATGATTTTTGAAAAGGGAACATTTTCCGTGGAATAGGCCAGCTCATCAACCACAGATAAACCATAATAGGCAATATCTTAAACAGAAAAATTCAGAAACTTTAATACCACTTTATTAGACTGACTGATATGATGCAATCTATGTTTAAGATAAATCCAAACCACTCAATATGATTTGCACTGTAGAAGATGACAATAACATGAAATTAATTTTGGATGATTTAATTTATGATTTAATTACAACAGGTTGCAGACCACAAGACGAAAACTACCTATGGGGATGCTGTCCTCCTGGATGATTATGGTTGTACCCTGGTGGATACCTACTCAAAAATGAGAGATTTCACACCAGGGTACAAGGCAACCATCTCACCGGACCCCAATGAGCCGTACTTGATGGGGAAGACTGGGGGACGACTCTCAAATCCTGGACAGATGTGGAAGTCCTACAATCTCCCAGGGAAGTTTCTTCCTACGAATATTAGAAAAACTGCCGCCACCTAGGTAAATGTTTATTAAAGTAAATCAAATTTCATTTTGGTTTTCTTAAGACAACAAATATTAAATTGTTGTAGTCAAAAGACTACCGTAACCATGAAATTTCTACAATATGAAATGGGCACGACATGACAACAAAATAGGAACATCAATAGAGATCTAATTAATTAATTATTAGAGAACATTGTTCAGAGAGGCAATGCCCCATTTTATAAAATACATACATGTACTCTGTAAAACAACAGGGATGATGGAATATATGTAAGACCATTACAAAATATTTGGAGGTAATGTATACATACTGATTACCTTCTCTGTTTGGGTTCTTCCCCTCCATTGTGTCTCATTTGATCTTCCTCCAAATGAATCATAGATTGAAATTATTATTGTAAAATATTTGAGCTAAAAAAGCATTTCCAGGTTTTCTGATGATTACCTATGTTACCATGTCTTCTGTAGGTCTATGTATGTTTACACTAGAAATGAACAAGAAAGAAATTGAACAAAAGCAGAAAACTAGTGATCAATTAGGGTCAAACATATGTTCATATAAACACACCTAAATTTATAGTAATAAATATCATTGTCATCAGCAGTGAGAGAATTCTTGTTTTATATGAGTCTCTTATCTCTTACAGGTGAGTGTCTTTCAACATCATTGAGCTGGTTGGAGACCTGGGGGACTGATGTTGGACTGGTCCCCCAAAGATGTTCTACTTTAGATAAAATGACCGTGAAAGACCATGGTGCCATTCTAAGAGGTGTTGAAAGGTGAACCTTGGTTTATGTTTCAAATCATGCTATAGTTGTCAAACATTGGCATGATTTTCTATTTCCTACACTTACCGGGCACCTTGTATGTTTAACACAGACAAATCAATAAATAGAGGGATTAGACCTCCCTACTTGGTCACTGGCAGGTGGTTATCTCATCAAATCAGCTCTCAATTAACATAAGAAAAAGGGGACCATGGGGGCCATGGGGCTTAGGCATCGTTGGCTATATTGAGGGCTACAAGTAGTGCATTCCCGCATTAAAGCTTACATCTAACGTATTGAACCAGTCCACCTTTATTTCCCAAAATACAAAAACAAAATCAACTTTATAAGAGGCATGAATGATTTTGTTATATAATATAATGAGATGAGATGATTTAGCAAACTCAGTTTCAGTGGACACAGTTGGATAATAATGCACTGGTAAATTCAATCACCCCTTCACACAACAAATGCACTAGTACTACTCTTTCATGCTAGAGTCTCATATGCTCTGCTGCCATCTAGTGTTCAACATTGACTTCCTACCTTGTTGGAGGCTTTGTTTTATGACCATGTGCAACAAAAGTGCAATAATTGGTGTTGCTCTATTTAAACTGCTCATTACACACTAGTCTAGCTCTTGCCTCATTAAAACAAAACATTGTTTTATATCCATTATTACCATGATTGAAACTCACTTTTTCAAGAATTGGTTTATAATGTACAATAGGTGTTATTAGACTTTCTCTTTTACGATTCATTATTTCATTTATATGTGCCTATACAAATTTGTATTTAATTTAATTGTTAGCTTGACTTATCCAAATGGAATTCCAAATATTCATAATTGTTATCAGGAATGTTATTTAATAAATTCCTTTTAACATTTGTGGATGAAAATGTTAAAGGTAAAGACTAGTATTGGAAATGCCCCAATTTCAAAAAATGAAATGGAAGCTCTTATTACCAATCATGTGAAAGAATATGTTTTGAATAATACATGATGATAAAAATATTGACGGGAAACCGCCTACTAATTGATATATTTGGTAAAATAGTGTATCTCTTGCCTGTTGAGAGATACAAATGCACGTGTCGCGCACGTGTGTGTAGTCCCATATACATCTTTCTGTGTACAGTGATTCTAACTTTATGAAGACTTGGCCAAATTTCTTATCATTTTGATGATTCCAGAAACTTGCAGTACATCTATGCTAGATGATCAACCTTTTCTGATCGATTTCACAATGTTTCTTTCACAATGCAATCGCATGACCATAACTGGTCTTTAGCTTTAAGAACAGCAAACTGATGATATAAAAAGAACCACTCCTTCTAAATACACTGACAGAACTACTTGACACTTAGTTTACGTGGCTTTTGATTCAGAAGATATGTTCAGATTGAGATATCAGTCTTGTCAAAGCATAAAAGATAATTGTAATTAAAACATGTCCTTCCGATTGCATCGAGAATTGTCAGATATGGAACAGATTTATGTGCTGGCCTTGGCTAATATATTATACAAATAAAAAGATACATAGAACCTGGGTCTTTTCCAAGTTAACATTGGACTTTGAAAATGCATTAAGATTAAGATAACAGTCTTTTTGTTTGTATATGAACACATTAGATAGATATAAAATGATACAATGTTTAATGATTACATTTCACAAATAAAAAATTACATAAACCTAGCTTACCTGGCCTTGGACCTTGAAAATACATTGATGTTGACATAATTATCAGTCTGGTTGAAGTTTAGTAAGTCAAATGTTAAAGCCACTGATGTCTTTCAATTCTTTCAAGTTGATATTTGGCAGAATTTATGGAATGGCCTAAATACATTTTTGATATTGCACGTACACTAAAACTTAGGTGGACTGTCTTTCATGAATGCTTGATATCATATTACAATTTAAGCTGTAAATGTGTTTGAAAATTTCTTTGAAGTGACTCTGTAACATTCATTTTGTAGAAGGTTGATGAAATAAATGAGTAATTTTTGTATGAAATGTTACTAATTATTGTATTCCTTCTGCTGTACTTGCCCTCTAACATGCAAACAATCTTGAACAAATTCTCAAACCACAAAGATATTGATGGTTTTCTTTGAAGGCATCACTGTGCGACACACTCTAACAGTAAATTCTCCCAACCATTTTTGAATTTTCCCCAACTGTTTTTACAATGAAAATAAGACACTTAAATGTCTGGAATGGATTATAGAGCCGATTTATTGCTTTGTGACGATTAACATTCACCTAAAATTTTAATGAAATTATACTAATATATAGTTGGGAGAATTAAGGAATCGATCAGATCAGTTTTCCCCATTTTTTATCATTAATAATGGTCTGTTTTCACTCAAACTTTCAGATTATCTTTCATTGAAGTCACTACCTTAGCCCCATTTTCTCTCATCTGAACAATGTTACCAAGTCCCTTTAATAGTGCACAGAGCAAAAAGAGAGAGGTAGAAGATAACCTGAAAAAGTTGAATGCGATTGGACTTGCCTGCACTACCCTATTTCTATATTAAAGAATAAGTAATAAGGTAAATAAGGCATACTTCCCAAAGTGTGTTTACAAAATGGTGCAAGAAGTTCAATACAAGAGATACAAAAGAACTTTCATTTGACATTTCATCAGGCACTTTAGCCTGAAATTGTAATACTGGTATGTGCAAATTTTAAGCAGTATATATTAATGCACCATTAAACCACTTGTATTTTATATTCTAAAATTCAATGGTAGTTTCAATAGTGAGCTGTTAAGTTTTCATCAAATGTAACTTACAATATCACACTTCAAGGAGAAAACTTACAAGTTTGACTCATTTCACCAAAAAATATGGATTTCCTCATGTTCTATGAATTCTAGAGAGTACATGTAGATGTATACATATATGTACAATAACACATCATTTAAAATAGATTGATTTTCCCATCGCAAATTCAATGTTCAATTTTATTTCAGATTGTTTTGATGTTATTGATTTAATCAGGTACATGTAAAACTAGTGAAATCAATTGATGTTCTTTTTGCTTGCAGCAAACCTATCTCTCACAAGTCAAAGACCCCCAAATTGAGAAAGTGTCCATTCTGCGCTGTTCCAGACGGTGCAACGCCTGGATAACCACCTTGTCAACAAAACACACGATTCCTAGAAATTCAGCCAAATAAGTGCAATAATGATTAGGCCTCATCCAATTCAAACAAGAGATTAAGTCTCCAAATGTTCATTAGGGGTAAGCATATTATGAATTGTTCTTTTTAAGCTCACCTGTGACAAAGGAGGTTGAAAAGCAGGTGTGGAAACTAGATCCAGTTACGGCTTAACATTTGTTCAAATAGATAACATACCCCTTAGAGGTCCCACAAGAATGTTGCATTAAAAAAAAGTGAATTCAGGTGAGCGTTAAACTCCCTGGGCTCTTATTACAGTTTATTTAAATAATGCAGGGGTTTCTTAATTTTGTCACATTTTACGTACCCAAACCTTGATAGTTCAACATTCATTTCTTTATTAAAGTTTGTGAAAAACACATCACGATTTGTCTTTCTCTCTCGTGCCAGTTATTCCTATTTTGTGTAGCCTTTTCAAGAGTGCTTTAAAAAAAACTTTCTTTCAAACTTAGTAAGATTTTCCAGTCCTTCTCCCTTTCCAGTCAATGGAAAAGTTTCTTTCAGCACTCATCAGTCCATTTCTTCCTCTCTTTGCGTGATCTGTCAATCAATTAACCAATGGAATATTCAATCAGGTTATAGTTTGATCCAACGTGACTATGTTTGAAACTTGGAAATTTAAAAAAATTATTTGTTCTGAACTTATCAACCTCCCATCCCAAATTTAATCTATATATGTCATATTGCATTAAGTTGTGATATTTTAATTTTCTAATAAAATATTTTGTCCAAAATAGAAACAGAGTACGTCCTCCATCATTTCAAGGTCCACTTGACAGCAAAGAATGGCAGGGACAAGAACACCAAAGAGACGACGAGAGGCCATATGTCACATGTTCAAAAATTTGCTGATATGGTTGGAGGATTGGCCAATCTCCTAACTGATTCATTAACCATTTGAGTAAACAATAAAAGTTATCCCGAGAGATTTATTGTATTCTTGCCCATTAATCTACAAGATTCTTGCATAAAGCATGATACTCTTAGCATAGTGTGCAGTTTCTAAGCACGGCATGGGCATCGCCATTTTCTTGATAGTGTGACGTATCTTATGCAAAGTCATTTATCAAGTATGGATGCTTCCTTCCCACAGTGTGTGGCGATGAAGTATTTCATTCACCTGCTATTATAGTGATAAGATGAGCACTTTGCAAAAAAGAAAATGTGAAGCAAAAATCTTAACCATAATGGCCCGTATTCACAAAGGAGGTTTACATTTAACCCATGGTTTAAACCTTCATTTACATAACCCATGGTTTAAAAATTAGCGCAAAATAAGCATACCTTGCCTTGTGCGCGTCTAATATTGGACCTCTTGACTGTGTTGTGCTTATTTTGCACTATTTTTAAACCATGGGTTATGTAAATGAAGGTTTAAACCATGGGTTAAATTTAAACCTCCTTTGTGAATTTGGGCCAATATGTATGTTGGTTGTAATTGTTTGCCTACTGGCTCTCCCACAGTTCTTGTAAGTAATCACAAATTCATTTAAAAAAAAAAAAGTTTTATGCACTACATCTCTCAGTGTTGTGCATCTAATGGAAAGTGAGCCTGATCATCTTTCTGAATGATTATGTGTCGTGTTTAACAATTTCATGTCATTTTTTTTTTTTTTTGGGGGGGGGGGGTGGTACTGGATGGGGAGAGGGGGTTGGGAGAGCATAATAAATGCCTAATAAATGCAATGATTTAAAAATGATAGCATTTAATTAACTTATGGCTTCATATAATATCAGTTTTATGTACTACATCTCTCAGTGTTGTACATCTAATGCAAGGTGAGCCTAATCACCTTTCTGAATGATTATGTGTCATGTTTAACCATTCCATATCATAGCATATTTTTGGGGGGTGGATGAGGAGAGGGGGTTGGGAGAGCATAATAAATGCCTAAAAACTGCAATGATTTAAAAATCATAGCATTCAATTAAGTTATGGCTTTAGAGGCCTGTCTTACAAAGAGTTTGTATTGATCGCGACTTCAATCTTAACTATGTACATAAGGCCAAACAAAAAAAATATTTTGGTTGTCCTCGATTGCTTTTCTGGAGTAGGGGCGGGCGGGCGGATTTTTTTTTTTTTTTTTTTTTTTTAAACTTCATTTTTTGTTTGTGTCTTTTTTTGATTTTTTTTCCCCCCCAATTTTTTAAATATTTTTTTAATAATTTGTTTTCCATGAAGAAGAAAAACAATCATTGGGATGTCAAGCAAAGTCTATAAAACACTTTAATATGGTAAAAGACTAGTTTAATCTACAATTATGAATATCAAGACCAACACAGAAAGTATTTTTGGCTTTGAAATACAGCACCTTTTAAATCTCCATTGTACTACTAATAGCTACTTGCGCCCTCTAATCGGTGACCATTGCTCCCCCATGATCCTCTTTATCTTATGTTAACTGAGAGCTGATTTTATGAGATAACCACCTGTCCAGGATGGTCTAATCCCTCCTGTAAACTAGTACAGATGGGCTTTACAATGAGTTTAAGAATGCCCAGAACCTGATTTGAATGAACGGCATTTTGACATAGAAAAATAAAAATGGCAAATACACAATTGCGTACTGAAAAGACCAAACTGGCAACGGGACTCATTTTGATCCTTGCAAATGCATAAAATGGTATGTTTGGCATTTAAGATTGCACCCCCAAAAAAAATTAGATACAAAAGAAAAATAAAAAAATATTGAATAAAAAATAAAAAAATTGAATTAAAAAAATAAAAAATAAAAATAGGAGCGGCCCGAAAATGACGAGCGGGCGGTCGAGGACAACCAAAGGATTTTTTGTTTGTGGCCTAAGAGATAGAAGACTGCAAACTTGCGATTGATGAGAGGACTTGCGATCACTTGGGATCAGTCACAACCCTTTATAAGACGGGCCCCAGGTTTATCATGATCCTATACATGACGACCTCATCACATTAAACATCCTTCTTGAGTGTTTCATAAGTATCATTTTGAACTGTGAGCTCCATAAAAACCTGGCTTGACAAGGGTGCTTAACTATACAAATTTCTTGATTTACGTACGCTCATGTCATTCATTGAATTATTTATTAAAAACTGAATGGAAAATTACCTTAGACCCGACCCATATATGTTTTTTATTGGTATAGCTATTGTTGATTTTCGATGGTTATGTACTTCTTATTACAAGTAGTTTTGTTTTGCCTTGACATGGTGCTAAACTATACAAATTTCTTGATTTATGTTTCTGTTTGCTCATGTCATTACATTGAATCAACTAATAAAAATTGAATGGAAAATTACCTTAGACCCATATATGTTTTTTTATTGGTGTAGCTATTGTTGATTTTAGATGGTTATATGATGTAATTCTCATTAGTTTTGTTTTGCCTTGGTGTGTTTTCTTGGATCACAATCTTATTTGATGGGGATTTTACTTCAGGAAACATAATAAATTGAATTAAACTGAAATGGATGACCCCATGGTAGAGTTATAGGATGACCTGTGAACATAAAAGGCTATTCTGCATGTGACTAATGATATTTAGGATTTCAGAATGAGTGAAAGCATGCCAACTTTTTTGTTTTTTAAAGTCAACTTTCTTTGATTTTTTTCCCCCTAAAATATAAAGAGTACGACTTTGTAATTATTTCTATTCTTGTAACAATTTTAATAAATATCTTCCTTATTACCAAATATGATTTTACAATTTCATTGATTTGTTTGTATTTATATGAAACCTCTTCCTCATCTTATAATTCTAAAAAGATGGCATATCGAATTACTAAATTTTCAATATAATCAATGAGCACTGTCTGAACATTGTAATTATGTTTTTCATGATGTAAATCATGATCAAATCATTGCAATTCATTCTTTGGAATGTGCAAAAGTAATTCTATAAAATTCTGCCATCGATCACTCTTTATGAAGGACTCTTGACTGTCACTGTACACAAAATGAGGAAAACATAAAACTCCATTAAATAATGAACCCCCACTGCTGCCTAATCACTTCCTGCATTACAATGGAAAGATTATAGGTGTCAATACAATTTAACAATTTAAGTGCAACTGACACATCATGGACGGTTCAGCCATTTTCCTTCTTATTTTTATTCTTCTTCTCTTCCTCTTCCTCCTACCCCTTCTCCTTCTCCCTCCCTCCTTGTTCTCCTTTGGTCAATCTCCACTTCTCCTTTATCTCCTTTTCCCATGATCTTCCTCCTTTCTCAACCTTCTCGTCTTCTTCTTCCCTTCCTCCTCCACCTTCTCTTTCTTCACCCCTTCTTTCCTTCCTCGTCCACCTCATTGTCTTAACTTTCTCCTTCTCTTCTTTCCTCCCTCCTCCACCTTTTCTATCTAACTTTTTCCCTCTCCTCTTCTTTCCTTCCTCCTCTTCTTTCCTTCCTCCTCAGCCTTCTCTTTCTCAACCTTCTGATCCCATCATAAACAAAGAAAGTCAAATCAAACTGCTTGTTTGACATGAAAAGAATAGCATCTATCGGATCATACAATGAACACCCCCTTGCATTTGAATTCCTCTGGATTCAAGCCAAGTCAAGGCATTGTAGACGTTTCTCTCTTTCCCAGGTTTCCCAGGTTGTACCTGTATTTGTTTGTATTGTTTTCCCCCTACAGGGCAAGTAACAAGATCCAAAGGTCTTTACAAACAACAATACTTTTATAAGAGATCACCTTTGTAAATAACATAGACGAGCGTCACAAATGTACCTAAAGATTAGATATAAGACCAAAAGAGCTAAGCTTATATGTACCTAGTTCTGATGAAAACACAAATTTCACAGAATCTCTTCAAAGTCCCACTGAATGTTTAAATAAAAGATAAGAATAGGGACACTTAGATTATCAGGCACCAAATGAAATATATATATATATATATAATACCAGCTTGTCTATGCTGTGCTGCTGTTTCTTCACTTCATGGAGGTGCAGCAAACATTCAATAAAACTTTACCTGTCCAGACAACCAATATACTGCACAATGCACACTTTTTTTTAAATGGTTTCTTGCAAAAGTTTCATGACCAAATGTTGATATTAGCTTTATGAAAGTATATAAAACATATGCAGTCACACGTCACAAATCACATCTACTTCAAACCTCTTCAGAATATTTAGAAATATTCCATCAAATAAGAAAATGATAAAAAGACAAATATATAGTGTAGCTTTGTATCCTCCAGCAAAATTTATTTTCTCTCCAATTTCAGGATATATATGTACAGATATGAAATCATCTCACAAATTGTACCAATATAATTCAACATTTGAAAATACACCAAGTCTTTATCCTAATAAGAATACATTGAGAGAAAAGAGACAAGGATCATATATATAGTAGATAGTAGAAGAAAGAAGTACAAGTGAAAAATAAAACAGAGAGATGTTGGAGCTACCAGACACTTCAGAATATAGTGAACTCGTAGTAGAGTTGATTCAAAACAAAAAACAAAAATGAAATATGAGCTTTCATATCTTCAGGCATTTTCATCTTCTCCCCTACATGGGAATATATTTACACACATGAAAAATAAAACATCTTGAAGATTATACTTCAGGCAATATATATCTGAGAGGCACAGAAGTACTCATTTTGATATGCCCTCAATACTTCATAGTCGAGACTGAATTTCAAGCAGGCACTTCTACGATAACAACAAGCACTCGTCCTTTGGTTGAAGATATCTTTGAATAGTTGATGAGTTAATATATATATATATATATATATATATATATATATACAAGAGTGCTACAAGCACAAGGAGAGGGGGAAAAAGGAGATGGGTGAAGCAGAACGTACTTATAAGTACTGACAATCCAACAATAAATCAAATATGTCAGTCAACTGAATAACATAGATTTGTTTTTGTAAGAAAGAAAAAAATCTGAATATTAAGGCCGATTCAATAATTTCAGTTGTCATATCAGCATTCAGGTAATTATACATCAATTTACTTCTCCATCAGCAGAAGAGAAGTACAACAAAGATACAATAAAAAAAAATAATAATAATATGCAATAACATAATGACCTAAGGTCCGATTCAAGCTTCTTTTTTTTCTCCAAAATTTCCTTTTCAGAATTAGATTGTACTCTCATCTTAATAATTTTTAAATGCGAAAGTCTGCTTTTCTACATTTTTTTTCTTCATTAAGAGGGTATCATCAACTTTTTTTGTAGATCAGAATTTCTTAGATAGCCTTGCCACAGCAATGAAATAATTTCTACAGAGAAAGAAAGCAATTGGTTAGAGTATGTTTTGAATGTCTGCCCACTGCACCGGTTGTAAATATTTATCACTGCTAATATACAGGTACCAAGATTAATATTGTTAATGCATGGAAAATCTAATTTTGTGTGAATTCTGTGAGATGTCTCTATTTGGTTTTTTTCTGGAAGATCTAAAATGATGACATTCTTTATCAAAATGACTGAATACACCATCAGCCCCAAGTACTGGGCTTGTAGACACTATAGGCATGCTAAATCTACCGGGTAACTGTTTTTTCTATTACACCCAACACCTAGGCCTACAAACCTGATCGTAAACCTGATCCTAAACCCATTCTCCACTTGTTCCCTAATAATAACCATATATATCTTTACAAAGTAAATTTGGGGCAAATACAACATCATTACATAGCTTCTAGGAAGCATTACAAATTTTGATTTTTACTTGTGAATTCTCTTCAATACAAAATGTATCAATATTTGATATTTCACTGCACACTTCACTGTAACTACACATAATTTTTTCTTCTTCATAGCTTGAAGCATATATGTGTTTTTGAGAACAATAACAAATATCTGAGTTATGAAACTCAAATGGCAAAAAGAAGTACATAATTAAATTCAAACAACTACATTTACCACAAGTCCATGACAATAAAGAATGATGACTCCTCTGCCTTATAATAGCAGATATCAGATAATTTCAATGCAGTAATACAAAGTGCATTTTGCAGAATACCTGCAAAACTACATGAGATGGAAGCACATTCTTTACTTTTCAGGAAATTAGACAAATTAATATCTGCATTGCTTTATCTCATACTGCTCTTATAAAATACAACATGGAGAGTATATAACCAGAAGGAAAAACAGTAAATAAGCATCAACTATGACAATAAAAAACATTGCAGTTTATTCTTTTTGTTGTTGGGGGGGGGGGGGGGGGGCTTTCTGCCAGTTTAATACACATCTCATTGTCTGGTTAAACATGCAAATACCGTTGTCATATTGAAATTACCAATCACATACTATAATTGCTTTATCTTTGTATCACACACGCGTTGGCCCTCGTTGATAACACAAGGCATGTCAAATATGCAAATGATTAATATTGTCCAACTGTTTGGTACACAATATGACAGTCACTGGTCACATAATTTGTTTTTGTTTTTGTCATAGTTGTTCGCCTTATAGGTTTTTTGTATTTATTTGTCTACTTGTTTACTTTATTGTTGTGGAGAATAAACTGAACTTATGAACTTTAAAAAGTTGTCTTATCCTTTTACTTGATCAACTTTGTTACCATTTTAGAGATTTCATAAAGATCAGATAGTTATAATTCAGTCTTTAGGTCTAACCAAGGAGATTTTGCCCTCAACATCAAAGCTATATCACTGGATTCAAACAATAATTTAAAAAAAGATAAAATACATTAGCAAGTCACATATGCAGAGCTGCCAACTAGTACGGATTTCCCGTAATTGGTACGGAAATTAACGACCATTACGGAATGTTGTTTAAAATTACGGATTTAAAAAAAAAAAAAAAAAAAATTATATATATTTTTTTTTTCCCCCATTTTTCCTGGAAGACTGTGTTGTGATGATATGAAACTCATTATTTAACAACTTTGTGTGAGTAAAATCACCAAAAATGTCAGATAATCATGTGTCTGTGCAATGTTGGCGTGCCGTTTTTATTAGAGTCATAGCGCCGCATAGGAAATTACTGATTTATACCCAAAATTACTGATTTTGAGCCTTGTGATTACTGATTTTCGGTTCTGGAGGTTGGCAGCTCTGATATGCATGTAATATTATACTAATGTCAACTTAAAATGTTGCCATTTTGAAGATTAAATAGTTGTAATCCATATTCTCTTGGTCTAACCCTTTACATTACATGATTTATCATTCAAATAAAGCCATATGGTACTTGTTCAATGACATACATATGTGCAAAGTCAACAACAGTGCCATCTGTGTCAATTTACATAACATACAATGTTATCATGAATTATCAACTCAAGCACATAACGGAAATAACAGAAATTCAGCTCCCAAGGTTATGTTTGACTCTGGTTTTTACGAGTGTCTCAAACTAATCGTCAAGTCTATAAAAAATACCATGTGCAAATAATAAAATGATACAATACTTCATAAAACTGATTGAATTGGAACATCAGGGTGAAAAAGAACATAGAGAGGGGGAATCTTTCTCCGAATAAGGCATACTCTATTATGAATGAAAGAAAGAAAATAGGTCTGAATTATTCCCGGTACTGCAGTTTGAATACATCAAAGAGCACATTGTCGAGAATCAAATAAATATATTTCTCCAATTTTTAATCTCTCACAACATTTCAGCCATTATGTAAACACTGCTGCTTCAAATTCACCTGATCATTTTGATGCGATTGTGTCGTCATCGCAAGAAAAGTCATCAAAGATAATAGAAAGGCAAAATTGAATACTAGAATCGGTACATAAAATTGCTGCAGATCATTCACAAACAAAGTTAATAAATGAAAACATTTAACTTCAGCTGCACATTTATATAATAATATGTTATAATGTCTTCATTCATCTCCTAATCAGGAACACTCTCGGGGAAGATCTGCAACAAGATATTTATTTTGTTAAATGCTATTGATAACTCCATAGCCCAAACAATTTCTAGCTTTCTACTATGCTGTACTGTAAAAACAATTATACAATACAATATTCTATGGGATAACTTGGAAGTTGGAGCCTATTTCCATACAGCTTGTCCTAAAATAAATGGTAAAATAATAAACACAATTCTAAATACAGGTACTTGGAAATATCAATATGCTCAGATGACCCTCACTTTTAATATGGAGATTACTACCTTCAGGAATAATAAAACCCTGCAGTCCTCATTAAATTAGCACGATGGTGAATTGGAGATTTTTAACATAAATAATTGATGTGCAAGAAAGCGTAACATTATTATCATATGGCTCACCAGTGTTCTATACTACCCACACAATACTGGTTTGAATACAGACCGGATTATGCAGGGTACTGCACTATCAATTATATTGAATGGATTGAAATTTTACTAGATTTAAGGGATATACTGGTAATTGTAGTTGAAGATAATAAAGCATTCCACTATTCTGCTGATCTGTTACATATTACATCAACTGTTTTGCACACCAAGGCAATGGTTCAATGCAATATGGATAAGTGAAAGCAATACAGATGAGATGAGATCAAGTTGAATTAGATTTCAGGGACAAATAACCACCAATTTTAACCATTAGTCATTTGGCGAATGTGACCTGATTTTAAAATGACCTCGACAAGAAAACGAACAAACAAAACTAATTTGGAGTCCTGATTTGTACCCATTTGTAGTCCTTAATTGTCACAACCCCTCTCCCTTCCTCTCTTTCTCTTTTTTAAAATATGGATTACTATAATATTATGATACATAAAAAGTATAAAGTCATGAAGTGAAAATAAGACATTGATTTCTTAATCATAATGACATGATTTTTGTTAATTCATAAATTTTCAAAATGACTGAAATTTTGACAGGATAAAGAGGTTGATACCTGGAGTTCCATAAATCAATAAAAGAACTGTGCCCACTCTGTCAGGGTTCAAACATGGACTTAATAAGATACAAGAAAGAACAAAGAATACACAAAGGAGCAGATACATGTAGTTGCAATTAGACCACATATAACTATTTTGATACTGTTACCACAAAGGTTAAAGTTACATGAGTAAGGAAACTAATTTAACCAAGTTTACAATACACCGAGCTGGATTTTACAACATTGGTTTCAATCTGATATTCCATCACCATCTTTGTTCATAAAATACATTTCATTTTATTTCTGGAATAAAAAATATATAATAAGGCACTTGTGGAAAATACATTCGCGATTGCTGTAGTCAAATATGATTGTTTTGATTTTTTTTTTGGGTGTCACAAATCATTGTGACATTTCAGTTTTATGTATTATGTACAAGGATGAATTTCTTTTACATGTAATGAGGCATGGGTTATCAGTTAAGAGTTGTTTAAGATATATGTACAACAGCTGATTATGAATAAAGAAAGAATAGAGCAAAATAAACAACAACATGCAAAAAATATTTTCTTTTGGAGGCAACCACTTGAGTTGCAGCCACAGAATCTCCGCTCCCATACTGCAGAGATAGCTGGCTACACCCTTGTCTAGTGCTTCCTTCAGTCTCAGCTTACAAATCAGCGGTGATCACAGGCAAAAAACAAACAAATAAAAAGGGCAAATTTCGAAATGATATTCCCTAATACTTTTCATACAATCTTCACAATCATAATGGATGTTTATTTTTAAAACTGCAAATTTTTCAGCGCAATTCAGTCATATTCCAGATCAAACTAGATGTAGCCTACATGTAACTCATGTCTCTCTGATATCAAAGTCTTTAAGAATACACTGGTGATTTTGCCCCTTCCTCTTCTACGCCTCCTTGATGAGTCACTCGTGGATGGGGGAACTGATCCGGTTGACTTCTAGTTGTTCTCAGGTTCAGGTTCAGGACATACAGACGTAGAGCGGCTGGGTTTCTGTAGGGCGGAAAGAAGGTGGAAAAAAAATGTCATGAACCAGTCACATGGGAAAGAAGAAGGGGAAGGACCTTTCCACATCCTGATCCATCTCAACACATGACATGCTATATCATCTGGGAGTGTTTCACAAAGACTAAGATCGACTTTAAGTTGGACCTAACTATGGCAGGCTGTCATGCCACTGTTTGCTCTCACCATTAAATGGCATTGGTCTCTCAAAGGATGTACAGATCATGATCACAAATCTACAGAATTTTCATTTTTGGATAATTCACTGTTGAAGGAAACAATATTATTTTCTAAAGATCATATTGGTGAGAGTAGACAGTGACATGAATGACCTGCTATAGTTGAGTCCAACTTAAAGTCAATCTTAGTCTTTGTGAAACACCCCCCTGTAGTTACAGTGACTCATTGTCATCCTCTAGTTATGCACAGGCAAATTCCTTTTGCCAAAATTTATCACCGTCTTTCACTCATTCTTTTTAACTCATTCAGTGCCACAAATTGATTAAACTTCCTAATTTCATACTGTGTGTATACTGTGATATTTTCGGGGCCAAAGAAGACAAATATTCATATCACTTTTTCTATTTTGACATGGAACAAAGATTTATCAAGTGTGATTTGCATAGCTGACATCAATGTATGTATTATTATCAACATCGAGAAAGATGGAAAAATTGTTCTAGAAAACTATTTACCTATTAATTCTAATTACTTCAATTCCTTTTTCTATATGAATAAACTTGTTTGAATGGGACCAGTTGAAAATGTTATGATTTCATACAGGCAATAAGATCGCCAACACCGAGAGGTATACTTTGGTTTTGATTACAATCACAAAGTGATTGTATATAATTAAATATTCAAATTAGGTTTTTATTAACAAAAAGTATCCTCAAGGGTGATATACACTTTTCTTTTCCTTTTTTTTTTTTTCTTTTTAAAACATTTTTATTTAGTCTCATATATTTTTTTCCCAGAGCTGTCATTACAGGATGTTTCCATGAATGTTTACCATCAGTATCATGACACCATGCATGAGATCCCATGATCAAAGTTGAAGCATGTGGACCTAATGGTTCGACCTCTAGAACACATTCCATTTTTAGCATTCACTGTAGGCCATGTATGAGGTGTCCCACATACATGGCCTATAGAACACAGTGAACCAGATATAGGTTGCATCAGGCATTAAAGAGTGACGTGTTTTTGGTGGCAACCTGCCAGGTGGTCGCCACTACAGGCAAGATATCCGATTCTAGAACCTTTTCAAGGTAAAGGGGAAAATTTCTTCTTCCTCCCGTTTGATGAGCGGTTTTGGCAGTGATTCTGATTCACGATTGCTTTTCACTATCATAATAACCCGGTATTTGAAGCTTTCATTTTGTCAACTTTGTAATAACAATAAAAATAGAATGGAAATAACCTAGTATTAGACTAAATTAATGAGCTATATTCCAACACAAACATGTCATACAAGTAAATTGTCGACCCATAATATTACATTTTGAAGCTCATTTACATGTAGCTATGATTCCTGTCATATTTTGAACTTTAAGTGTAGGGAAATCCAAGTAGTTGCTAGTCTGAAACAAAATCCATTGTTTGAGTCTCAAAGGTGCTGCATGTACATGTATACAAGGCCTATAGATCTATGGGAAAGTTGCCTTACATGTATATCAATTTTGATGAAGAACCCCCGACCTGACGGTTATTTCTGTTCATAATGATTCTCCCCAATGATACATGTATACTTACCTGAGGTGATACTGAGCACTAAAAAAAATAATTAAAAATTAAAAAAAATTCTCCCCCCCCCCCTAAACCACCCCTCTCTTGAGTTAAAAAAAAAGGGATTCAGGGTTGGGAAAATGGCATCTAACAACATTCCCCCCCCCCCCTTTTTGAGTAAGAAAATTGGGGAAAATAAGGGAAAAATCAGGAAAATAGGGGTAAAATCGGGAAGAATTATCAGGCCTGACTTACATAAGGTGTCCTCTCCCCGTATTTAGACCAGAAGGTGACCATACTGGTGTTTGATTTACCCGTCCTCTGATCAAAGCACTGGCAGGATTGGAATGGTGGAGAGTAGAGATGAAGACTGGCGGCGCGGTCACTGTGGCTGGGATTCTCCACCCGATGAAGACCCTTAGAATCTAGTAAGATGGAAGAAACAAAGATGGAAGAAACAAAACTTGAATTTTGGTATTCAGCTATGACTTGAACTTGGGCTACAGGTTATATCAAACCTGCGTATAAAGACTGTTCAAGGAAAACAGGGAAGCAGAATCTGTAGGCAAATGGTCTTAATATGCAGGTTGCTGAAGTACATGTTTATTTTACTGAAAGAATTTTGAATTATTGTGGTTTAAGTTGTTATTTACATTTCTTTCATTCAACCATTCATTCATTTGTTCTTTCATTAATTCATTTATTCATTTGTCCATCTTTCTGTCCAACTATTTATCCATCCTGTCATTTGTTCATTCATTCAATCCATCCATTGATTATTTTTTCATTCCTTCACTCAATCATCCACCCTTCCACCGATTGATTGATTGATTGATTCATTCATCCATCCACTAATTAATTCAATCATTTTGGGATCTTTTTAATCACATTATAAATGAGCATACATATGCAAAGCTTTTCATGGCTTTGACGATCAAGTTAATGGTACCTGTACATGTACAAGCACCTTCTTACTCATCGTGACTTTCAGACTACCAAGCTAATTACATAAGAGTAAAATCAAGTGACTCTCCCTGTTACGTCAATATACATGTACATCAATTAACTTATTTCCTGGCTGTTGTAGTTTATACATGTACAGCAACTGTACGTGTACTTTTAATAGCTGCATGCCATCATTGAATTAAGAAATATTAAACAAATTATACTCAAAACAACTCCCCCCATAAACAGACTTGAAAGCCCTTAAGAAAATTACAAACTTCTAGATCGATAATTCAAATTAGATTTACAATCAAGTTAAGCAAGGGAAACTCTCCTGAAAAACCAAATGCATAGAGTAACCAATAAGTCAGGTTCCCACTATTAGATCACTATTTAATTTGTAAAAGGTGTGTTTTTACGAGTGAAGCCTATTCATGTACGGGAAAATTGCCTCTAAATTCATTCTTTGCATTCTTTTATCTAGGAATTATAGATATAATAAGTCATTGAAATTGAAGTTGTCAACTTAATTTGTTACAAATTTTTGCCGTGCGAACAAGCCTGCATACCAAGCTTAATTTGATTACAAGAGTGATATTTAATAATGAAACGTGATAACTCAGGCTATACACGTACGTAGCCTGTCCATTAGTGAATGATGGACAGTTCTGACGTGCAAGCACGTATGTTGGAGATGTTTTTGCTGAGACCTACATATACCCTAGTCAAAATAAATTTGTCTTAAAGGTAATACAAAGTTTTGGGAAATTTGAAAATTGGGTGGATAGTGAATCTTTACAATTTTGATATATTTGGATTTCCCTGTGGATGTATTATAAGCACTAAAAATATTAGCCCCTAAAACACTTCTGTTTTCGAGAAAAATTGAATATAACAATTTACCGGTGCTCCCGGTAAAATTTGATAAATTTCAAATAGCGCCTATATGGCCGTACAATGGTAGCTGCGACCATGAAAATCTCAGAATATGTAGTTGTGAAATATAATTTCCAAACGGGAATAGGTAATAGGTCGATTTTAGTCAATAAATATTGTTTCATAGCTAAATTAATATCTTGACCTTGAGAGGGAACTATACAACATAAAGAGTTTATTATTTATAATTTCATAACTTTAGACTCGATTTCAACCGCGACAACGGTCAATGAATATTGTAGGAACGCATATGCTTCTAATATGTTAATTTAAACCAAATTCATGACCCCATACCAAAGCTTTGTAATACCTTTAAACTAGTCAGTTAAACAGTGAAAAAATAGAACAGAAAATATTATTAAACTATTTTAAATTCTGAATATGTATTTTTCATCTATCTTTTGTTACAAGCTCTTAGCCTAAAAATAAGCTTTTGGTCTAAAATTCGATTTGCTCTACAAGAAAATAGAAGAAAAATAGTCTATCATTCTGGGAATACCATAAGAATATAGAGTAAATAGCCAAACAAATAAATCGGTACCTTCTGCATATATATGAAAACAAGTTTATGTGCACCCCTCCCCCTTTCAGAATTAAGAATGATTTTTTTCTTCTTTAAGAGTGAGATGATCATCTAGAAGAGTATAAGAAAATTCAAAATATAATTCCATAATCAAGGTACATGTACACTGTACTATCATGCTCCAAATAACAAATTATCAAAGAACATTTAGGTAATGAATAAGTAACCTATTAAACAAAATTTTTCATTATTTGAACAGACTGTCACTTTACAGGTCACAAAATAATGCAAGATATCACTGAATATATCTTTTTTAATTTCATTGTCGTATTAGATACTGCATTGTAAACATATTGAGTACCGGTACAAAATATAAGGAAAGAAGAAACAATTGTAAAATATTTTCACCCAACCAATCAGATTGTTGTTCTTCTTCTTTATATCTTCTCAAGTAATGTAAGAATAATCAACTTAAAAACTTCTTTCATTATTTAACCCAATGAAAATTACTACAATGTGTTTGCCATTCTTTATGATTAAAACCACTTCCATGTATTGTCTTATTTGTCTACAATCACAAGGGCTTTAAAAGACAAACATGTTTTTGGCAGAAGAGACTGTGTTTGAGGAGCCTACATATGAACCAAATGAACTTTTCATTACACAATATGACGTGTACAAGAAAGAAATAGAAAAAAAAACATGAAATTCGTTCATAAAAGATCCTCATATATCTCGTCTAATTTAGTCACATGACTTCCAGTCAAAACCGTCAAAACAGTATTGGACTCACACTTTGCTGTCAATACGACTAATGAGAAAATGTAGTTTTGCCTAAATCTCTAATGATTAAAGTTTTTTTTTAATGTAGACCTTCCTATATCTTCAAATATGTGACCCAGGGTCTTTATTAGTGCTGTAGTCAAACGTTTAACCGTCCGGTATCCGACCGCCCATGGCGGATTCCGTTTTCAATTGGACGGTTTCGTTTTCCAGATTTTTTTTTTTTTTTTTTAAATCGTTTAACCGAAAACCGTCCGGTTTTGACTGGCGGTTAAACGGAATTGGAGATATCCGTGATGTTACAGCACTAGTCTGTATCCAATAATTCAATTCAATACTTGAGTACAAAATTTAAGCTTTTTACTTAGTACTTGGCTTAGAAAAAATACTTTGCCAATTTTGGTATTCAATTCAAACTTTTGGCTAAGTATTTAACCCTAAATTTAAGACAGCTCCCTACCAGACTAAGCCAATTAATTGGAGGCCTTGATTGGCAGGCATATAATTTTCTTACGCAGTATCATAACCTGCGCACAATTATATTAGCGCGCATTTATTGCAACGCATTAATTGCACATTACTTTTAATTGACCGTGTGACATCACAATGCTTATCAGTACCTTAGATTTTGTCTAAGGGAAGTAAAAGTCTAAAATGCGATTTGGATATGAGATAAGTAAACTTCTTAGCTTAGCCATTTACTTAGTCTAAGTATTGAATTGAATACCCGCCCTGGTGTATTTAAGGGAAATTCCTAAAAAATTACTGACAATAGGAAAAGAAGTCACTTGGTTTGTTGCAGCATGCCAAGTTTTTCTGAGAGAGTTTCTCAAGTGCTGGCATTTGCAAATGCTGATTTATTACCTATAACTAATAAATAAGCTTACTGTACTGCTTGTGTATTTTTCAAAATGTGTAACTATATGTATAGAGCAAGATTAAGAATTGCAGATAATTAGTTATTAGCATATCATAGTATAGTAGAATATGTGTTTTAGAATCACCGGAAGTTGGTGTATCTACAAAATCGCTGTGGTATTGGAGGCGTAATACATAAATGGGAATGTATATAGCTGTATGGGGTAACAATCATTCTTTTGCAGCATGAAACTTTGCGTATCTGGACCACTCCTAAAATTTTGCCCTTTACATTGTACAGAATAGAATGTGAATTCTTTGAAAGAAACGGCTGGTAACAGAGACTAGAATAGTGGAATGCAGTTCATTGGTGTGTCAGTATTGTATTTTTTGTACGATCCGTACAATCCTTACCTTCACAAGCGCCAAGTTATAACAAGAGAATAACAAATACCCATAGTAGACCGATTATTTGGTTGGGTGATTCTACATGTACCCGTGATGAACTATCAACTTACTGTTTTTCTATGTCAACTGTTCAAAAAGCAGGAATTTGCGTAAAATGAGTAAACAGGTATACTCTATACATTATTAATCGATCTACTGTATTTACACACACTACATTTACATTTCAAATGGAAGAGGGGTAGAAAAAGTTCAGATTTAATGAAATTGTGTACAGTACTGTATCACTGCTTAAAACCATGCTACTTTTGTAAGTCACCAGAATTCAATTTTTGTTGTTGCATATTTTCTGAAAATAAAAATGTTAAAGGTACTTAGTAACATTGTGATGGTTGATTTCACAAATCTGTTGAATCAGGATGCAAAACACGTAAAATTATGTTTGTATGTATGGATTATCCAACTACGATGCCCCAAATCCGAAATTAATTCACGCAATATGAAGATTTTTAACAAAGTTCAACAGGTGTTCGAACGGGCGTCGATGTGCGGCGCTTCTGAATCTAAATTCTCCCAACCATTTTTTGAATTTTCCCAACCCTTTTTCCATGGAAAAAAGACATAAAAACAGGCTATAAAAAATCTGTCAACACTTAAATGTCTGGAATGGAATGTAGAGCCATTTTATTGCTTTGTGAGATTTCCATTCACCTAAAATGTAATTAAATTGTAATAATATAGTTGGAAGAATTAAGGAATCAATCGGATCAGTTTTTCCCAATTTGTACCATGAATAATGGTCTGTTTTCGCCCAAATTTTCAGATTATCTTTAATTGTACATCTAGCATTGAAGTCACTGTCTTAGCACCACTATCTCTCATCTGAACAATGTTACAAAGTCCCTTTAAATTTAATACAAATTAACATATTGGAAGCATATGCGATCCTACAATATTCAGTGATACTTGTCGCGGTTGAAATCGATTCTAAAGTTATGAAATTGTAAATAATAAACTCTTCATGTTGTATAGCTTCCTCTCAAGGTCAAGATATTAATTAATCTATAAAACAATGTTTCTTGACTAAAATCGACAGATTAACTATTCCCGTTTGGAAATTATATATCACAACTACATATTGTGAGATTTTCATGGTCGCAGCTACCATTGTACGGCGTAGATTTCTTTGAAATTTCAAGTTCAGAACTCAGGAAACAGGAAGAAATAAAACGCAAGAGTAGTAATTAAAAAAAAAACTTTGTATAATTTGCCAGACCAATTATCAAACTACGTTTAAATTTGAACAATGTCTTGATGCAGGTGATCCTCGTCATTGCGATCACCTTGGGACAATTCAGGTTGATGTGCAATGTCAAATTTCTCATTGTGTCGAAGCTGAATGACAAAGAGGTGTAAGAATTGTCTTGTTGTGTCGGGTGCCACGTTATGACAAGGTTCCAATGTATAAAATCACTTACAGGTACATGTAATTACATTGTGCATTATGCTGATCTGTCACAGAATTTTGGGAAAGCTTTGGAGTTTGAATGAATGAATACAACGAATGTTGAAGAAGAAAAAAAAAGTGTTGATACAAGTTTGTTGTAACAATCAAAATACCTTTCTCTGACATAGCATAAGTTTTCAGAATATGAGGTTGAGAAAATGGCCCAAAAATGTAAAGTTATGGCATGAAATTTAATTGTAAATTGTTGTTATTCTGATAAATGCTGATCAATATTATCCATTGAATAAAGATGTAGGAAGATTTACATACCATTTATGTAAGCTACTTGGTCTCTCTCATAGGTATTGGATGCTAGCTGAGTCATGGCATTCTTTTTCTTTGATTCTTCTGGCCAAGCAAACGTAGATTCCTTCAACGTCCCATCGAGAACCTTCATAAAACAATGTGCGTCGGAATGACTGTGAATCGAGCTAGGAATTTCAAAGAAGAAAAAGAAGAATAAGAAAAGAAAACATAGGATATCAAATAGCCTCACTCTTTATTAGATATTTACATTTCATTGCAATCAAACTACATGTAAGCATGTAAAAATGATCAGCATCTACTACGAACCACATCAAATACTGCTAACTTAGATTTTTCTCTTCAGGAAGGTACCATTATTTCTTAATAATGCAATAAAATACAGTACTCGTGAATGATAAATGATAACAAAATTATAATTAACCTCTTCCAGTTTCAGGCCATCCGAAAACTTAAATGTTGAATAATGAACATGTTTGGACTAGAAAGGTCTACTTTGTCATCCATAATAAAAATATTTAAAAAAACAGTTACACCCAGCCTGTCTACTATCTACATGGTCTCATAATCATTTTATCATAAATAATAATGATCATAAAATGATTATTAGATCTTATGGATGGAAGGCGAAATGGTCATTAGACAAACTGGTAATTAGACCGACTGGCAGTTAGGCCAAATGAGTGATAGACCAAATGGGTAGTAGACTTATTGGAGATTAGATCAAATGAATATTACCCTAAATAAATAGATGAAATGATTATTGGACCATGTGGATAGGAGACTAGCAGAGTGTAGACTAATAGATGGGAATACCGTAATAAACGGTGTATAAACCGCCCTCATATATTAACCGCACCCCTCTTTTTCGCCCTAAAAAAAAAAAAAAAAAAAAAAACTATGTCGGCAGCAAGCCAGGTCCGTGTTAAAAAATCCATGCGGGAAGGCCTTTCATTTAACTGCAAGGTGCAGCTTAATGTGTAAGATCATTAATGTAAATTTAAAAACAGTAGAGGACCTAGAATAGAACCTTGTGGTACGCCATATAATAGAAGAAAAATTGGAGGAATTATTATTATAAACTACATATTGAGATCTATCAGAAAGATTACTTTCAAACCAAGATGACAGACAAATTTGAGTGTTGTTCTAGTTTCCGAGTGGTGAGTCAACACACCGATTACTGAGCTGGGAGACATTGCCAGGCATAGCGCCAGGTGGAGGGGCATAAATCAAAACTTTCATTTTTTTAATATTTTTTTTTGTGTGTACCGTGTATAAGACGCACCCCCGACTTTGAATTTTTTTCGGCGGCAAAAAAGTGCGGGTAATACACCATTAATTACGGTAGACTAATTGAGTAGGAATTAGTTGTAGACAAAATGGCTATAAACCCATACATGTACATTCACCCTAAATATAATTATAGATTTTTTAATTTTTTTTATACAAACCCCTGTATGTAAAAAATCTATTCTGTCATCAATAGCCATTAGAAAATGAAACTTTATGGAGAGGAACCTGCAAAGGCGCAATGTACGTCACAGTGTTGCCAATTTGTGTTTCACTGATGACAATTTCAAAACTTTATAAATTTCCTAATTTTGATGGAGTATTGATCAAACTGTCACTAATTAGTTTCTCTCATGTTTATAAGGGTGGACTTTCCCTTTAATTGAAGTGGTGTTTTTTTTCCTTACCTTCCTTGGCCCTCTGACCAGCACAGCACCATCAAATCAAAACGGCCATTCCCTTCATCAACAAGATTTCTTGTGTACCTGCACAAACAAAGAATAAAGCTCTACATCAGAACATTTAATGATTTAGGGAAAACAACCTTATTCTTTGTGTAAACATGAAAAGAAAGCAGAAGATCATGATCAAATACCATGGAAATAGGGAAGCAATGTTTTACAACATTTTTAACAATGATCATAATGTTCACATTTGTTAGATTTATCCATTCGCAAACTAACATATAAACATGTATACACATCTCCTAGTTACATTTCACTATTTATACCACTTGTGTAATCTTAGGATCAACTGCCTTTCAAAATAAATGTTTTTAATCTTTAAAATCTAAGTAAAAGCATTCTTCTGATCACCTTCTATAATGGGCAAAATTTGCTCCACTTCTTTAAAATTCCCTTCTATAATAGAGATATTTTCACTGAGGGACTCATTTTGATAGGTAGTCCTTTGCATGACATTCAAAGCTGTACACCAAATAGGCCTATGTGACAGACCAACTAATGTTGTAGGCAAAAAAAGTCTTTATAGGCGCGTCTTCAATCATCGAGATTGCCAAATAGCCCACTATTTCTGATTTGGGAAATAATCCCGAAGTTACAAATCACGTCATCATCAGCTCGAGATTCGACCTCGAAACTTGAAACTTCGGTCTGGTGAAGACGCACCAGACAAATAGCTGGATATTTTGCAAACTATCCCAAGATATTTTGGGATGATAATCCCGACCAAATATCCCGCTAATTGCAACTTCGGGCTGATGACGACGCAAATTAGCTGGATAGTTTGCGATCGGGATAGTTCAAATAGCGGGATATTTGGCAATTTCGAGCTAGTGAAGACAGGCCTTATGATGACATGTTCTGATTTTCCTCAATACAGCTGCTTCTATTGTGTATTTGTGTTTTCAGGAAATAGTCAATCGTGTTACCTATGAGTATTTAATTGTTACATAACAGTTTAAAGTTTGCAGTGTTTGATTTTACCAGGGAGGTGAGACTTTAAATGGAGATTCCGTCTCGAAAGAATTTCCCGAGGGAAAGATATTCAAGATTAACTTGGCTTAACAACAAGTAATTTAACCCTCTTCAGCCATCAAATCCATCAACAGCCGCCCTTATCAGACCACAGATGCCCTCTGGCGATCCAAATGTTACGAAGTGTTACGCAACGCGGCCTGCTTCCCTAAGCTCTCCAAACACTTGGTCGTAAAAAAAAGGCTTTGAAGCCATGCGAGTCACCGAGAAAATGACGTCATACTCATTGAAGATGTATATAGCTATAACAGTCAAAAATACAAAATCGACAACTTATGGCACAAGGCAACCTTCTATTGGTTATCAAATGCTTTCGCTGTGCTCGGATAACTCTTCTGAAGACGTAGCCATCTGAACCAGCGAAATCGACCAAGGAAATCGTGAGTTAGAGTGAATGCAAGTTTCTCATCATCATCACGTTCTCTTCTAATTATTGACATTTTCCGAAAGTTTCCGAAATTTTTACATAGCTAGGAAGGTAGTCCATAAGTTTATCTCTTAAAATAACTAAATGAAACTGTGTTGTATATTTGCGCATTTGGTTTAATGAGGGTTAGAAGTTGTCAATTCATCACCACTTTTCACCCCGAGTACGGGCCGGCGACGCGAAAGCCGCCGTGCTCGCTGGGCTGTACGTGCTGGATGTTGTTGGTGGAAACACACATAGCTGCATTACTACCCTGGCCGTGTATTCAAAGTTGTGCTATTGATTCTCAACATTTCAAACACCACTGTACAAAACTCAACTGATTTCATTCAAAGGCAGTACTATAGTGACGATTGATGACACCTAAAGAGCATTAAAATACAATTTGTTCAACTTTCTGATGTTAGAAAGAATAATTTAAAAATTAAAATTGTGAGTCTACTGTCAAACTTGCCGATCAACCGCATCGGGATGATTATGTGCATTTGTGGTATGTTGTGAGTGTATCGACTATTCATGTATTCAAATGCTGCCTATTTGCAGGGAGCGGCCTACGCATTCACGATGCAACCATTTAACCGTACATTCCGGTTCGCTGCAACGAATAAGATTTTCCGTTGATGGAATTTCACACGTGCATAACTTGTATTGGTCTCCAACTTCCCGTACACCAGGCTCAAGAATCAAATCTTCCTCAAAATCAGTCAGAAAGTCTAAATCGTCGCCTACCAAATACTCTTCCCTACTGTACGCCGCCATTTTTGTCGATAGCAGCCGATGTGTATTTCCAACAATGCATTTCGCGAGCCCTATGTCACTCAGTTTCGGGAGTGAGATTTACGAGCTGTGCGGTCCGGGTGGGGGATTAAGGGGATTATGATAGGGGGAAAAAAGACTGTCGGTGCAACGGACTGCTTCAAAGGGCCCTCTTAGATGCGGAATCCATTTAACTCACATGCCCTGATTTTACTCAACAAAATAAGACTCATGATTAACACAGCTCTGACAAGATATCTCTTTTACATCTAATGGAAGATTACTGTAATGAAAAGTACTGTCTGGAGGCATGCCAAGGGTGATTGTCATTTACATTTAAACAATGAACTGAAAAGGAAATTATCTCCCAAAAGAAACTTATAAAAAAAAAAAAAAATACAATGCATCTCATACGTATTAAAACACATGTATGAAAGGTCTGAAATTGCAGACTATAAAACAATGCAGTGTGGCAAAGGATAGCTATGACTACCCTCTTCTTATATTGGCTTTCTGCCAAATCTATGATAATGGCACCCTCTGATAGGTCAAATGGGAGAGGTGTGTCAGGGGCTTGTTCACTGGCATAACCTCAATCTACACAAATGACTCCCATGCAAGCAGAGTGGACATAGTGAATTTGAGAATTTACACAATACACACATTGTTGGAGTTCTGTGTGCTGTGCTGTAAAGTACACAGGAACTTTAGATATATACAGTACACATGACATACATTATATCCTGCAAAGCATATCAAGAGTGACTCCCCCAAAAGTACTACAGTATGTATGTCTATGACCTTGCCAGACCATTCCCACATGGTCAGCAATATAGTTGAATTGTTTATTTATTCATTTGTCTTAGGAAGTAACAAATAACTTCCTTTAAAGTTTCAAGGATAATGAACATTTCATATGGGGGGAAAGACTATGAAGATGAAAACTTAAAAAACAAAACTGTTGATTTAAAATTTGGATAACAAGAATTCTATTCCTATTTCCTTCTGTAGTGTAGGAGTGTAGTTAAAGCGAAATGAAAAAAATTCCTGCAATACTGTGCTCATTACTATACATCAGAAGTTCAGAACTGCACCCTTTTCTACAATAGCTCACTACCAGTACTTATGTGAAGGCTGTAGTCTAGAAAATATATTCCAATGGGAGTTAAACCACTGTGTATCATTATTCATCACATGTTTTGTATGTAAGTGCTTATGAGCTATACAGAACCAGACAGGATACGGTAAAGCCTTCTTCAGAAAAATTCAAATCATTCAAATACCTTTTTATAAATCTTTCTCTCTCTTTCGTTCCATGTTGAAGTATTCATGACATTTACATGTACATGTATCATCACCTCTAAGCAGTTAAACACTCAAACAACAAGCCACAGAAAATGAATTTTCTGACAAATAACAAGTTTTGTGAATCTGTGTTCCATGAGAAAGTGCATGAAAATCCTGATGAAATTTTGATCGTATACCGGTACTTTTATTTTACATGTACTGTACTGTAGGGATGTTGGACTGCATACATTGTACATGTAGCAATACAGATTACAGAAGCCCCCAAAATGTTGAGATATGTATTGTTGCCATGACAAACCCCATTATCCTGACTAATTAAATGTTTGTACTAGAATGCTGACTTCATTCTCTATAGATCTCTTTATTTGAGAGGGGGTGCATTGCCTTGAACAGGCTCTGCATGACCACACGATTGCTACTGCAATACTGCATGTATCCATTGTGTCAGTTGCAAGTATATCACTTTTAGCTGACGAAGGCAGCATTATCATCACACCACAGAAATTATCAATATTTGCAAAGCGGAACCTTCGATAAGATCCTAAAACTTATTTGAAGGTTGCAGAACCTGTAAAATATAATATGTCTAGTCGTCTAGACTGAGTGGATCAATATTTATCAGTTGCTTTTGGGCTCAAAGCAAATATTCCACAATGCTCATTACATCAGTCTAAATGTCAAATAAACAATACTGTAATCTAATATTTGATTTCCATGCTAACTTATTATCCCTAAACATAAAGTAGACACATTACCACCAAGTCACACCAAAGCCTATGGGATAATACATGCAGTCACGTGTGACACAGTGGGCCGTATGCATAAAAGTAGCAATTGCTTGTGCTAGCCTTTTACTTGAATCCGTATGCATAAACATAAGCAATTGCTTGCAAGCAAATGCTTTTGCTAGCAAGCACAAGCAATTGCTTGATGTCCGCAAGCAATTGCTTAAAGATCAAGCAATTGCTTAAAAACGTATGCATAAAACGAACCTTTTGCTTGTTCTTATAAGCAATTGCTTACGTTTTTTCAAGCTCCGTCATAGCAGCTTGAGCTCTTGCTTAATCGGGACGTTCGCGGTTAAGCATCATGTTTATGCTCGTTAGAGAAAAACCAAAGTTGTACAGGAGTAGAATAAATCGAGAAGAAATTGCTCCCGAGACCTATCGGAAACTGTGCATGTATCGGTGTTTTTTTTTCATTTTGTTCTGAAATATGTCATCCTGGAATGTTATACTGCCATGTCAGGAAAGGCTACCCCACACGCATGACATTTGAATACACTACTAGTATGCGAAACCCGCCTTTGTTCTCCCATGAATGATGTTCGCACCGGCGTGACGTCGCTATTGTTGAGATCGTAAGCAATTGCTTGCTGGAGGCAAGCAAAAGGTTTGAGCACGAGCTTGATCTTTTGCTTGACAAGCAATTGCTTGTGCTTGAAGCAATTGCTTGCAAGCAATTGCTACTTTTTATGCATACGGCCCAGTGTGAGTGT